AAGAGCGTTTGTCCTTTGGGAAATGCTATTTTGTGGGTGGTTTATATAATTTAATGAGGTAGTATAGTGAATCTATGGAACAGAAATAGTCATAGCAGGCTTTCTGCTTTAGTATTTTATCAGGCTGCAATCTCCGAACAGAAACTTCCCATGGAAACAGTGATTTTGTCAATATTTTGGAGGGATTGGAAAAAAAATATTTCAAATAAAAGTTAAATTGTTCTGTAATAGCACTTTTAAAAAAGTTGTTTAGGCTTATGTTGTTGTTTTTCAAAGTAGCTTTTCAATTTGGAATTTCTTTCAATTTATATAATGTGACTAGCCTGCCAAAACAAAGCCATAATGTAAAGTCTTTCCACCTACCCAAATTAAAAAATGAAATTTTTTGTGGGGAAATCCAAGATTCTTCAATTTAGTACCATGCTGAAAAGCAGAACTTTTAACAAAATGGAAATTCAACTTCCATGACAGCTCTTACGATGATCTTCTGAAAGTTAAACCTTCACCTACTGTATCACATATGCAGTTTGGGCAGCCAAAAGCACTGAAGAATCCCCAAAATGAATTGCAGTAAATGCCATTTGCAAAACATGTTTAGTAAGTGCAGTCAATCAGTACAAACTACCTGCGTCTGAGAGCACTGAATGCAGTAAGAAAGAGGCAATTCCTTAACGACTGGTTCTTTGCCATCACAGCTTAGGCTGAGAATTCAGACTAACAACAGGAAAGCGTGATTTGCAGAAGTGCCTATCTGCTGGAAGCTCAAACCTTTCTCAGCTCCAAGGACATATAGAGGACAGAGTCAATAATCAGCCAGCCTGGACCTCCATGAGCTGACGGCAGCATAGACATAAAGACATGATTAAGGACAGAGCTGTTTAAAACTTTGAAAATCAAAAGAAGAATTAAAAAAAAAAAGGTACAGATGCTGGATCTCAGTGAGAGTGCTTACAGCTTAGCAGCTGGGTAAATCTCAGCCTCTGGAGATGGCCTAGTCGCAGGGTTTCCAGCACTAACAGCCGAAAGCACCTAGAAGGCAGAAGTTCTGAAATGAGTCTTTGTGTGCTCCCTTTATGCATGGTTTTGTGTAACAATGATGGGAAAATGTTTTGAAAGTGCTGACTCTGAGAAGTTACTTTTAAATCAGGTTTTTGCATACAGGTGTTTGTTCAGATTGAGACTAAGGCAGCAGTAGTGTGTTTTCCATCGTTCCTGAGAACAAAGAGATAATTCTCCTAAGCTCAGCAAGTCTCTCCGAGGAAAGCAGAGATTGCAGGACCTGTGAAGTTTTCATCCTTGTGCTGCCTTGCTGGGAAAGCCTGGCTTGGCCTCTTGAAGCATCAGCCTGAGACGTCCTGAATGAAAATGGTGCTTTGCATGTTCCTCTCCATCTCTTCCAAGCATCATTCCAGGAGACCGGTTACATTGGGCTATTATTCATTACCTGAATTAGTCAGCCTGTTCCCATCCACACGGAGAGGGAGAGGGACTGAGTCACTGTTTAAATCTATTTAAATGCAAATGAAACTCGAGCCCTGAAGTCTGATGTGTGTGCTGTCTCCATGTGTTGGCTGGAGGAGTCTTACTTGCATTCTGCAATGCTCTCTATGGCCTCAGTCTGCAAAAAGCATGACTTTGGCTGCTGCTGTCACTGAATACTGTACTAGAGAAGCATGATGGCACTTCCCTTAACCACTTGTCTTACATTCTATTGCTTCTTCCTACAGCCTCCTTTTTTAGCAAATCCAGAAGAAACATCTGTTCCTGAAAGCTTGTTTGTGTTTACTAGCTGTCCAAATTAAAACCTTGGGCCATTTCAGCTTTAGCAGTGGTATTAATGTCTTATGTCTTTGCAGCTGCTGTGGTCCATACTCCAGAATAGGAGACTAGGCAGCCCTGGGGACTCAGACAAGGTGGGTTACTGGAATTAAATGGCTGTCAGCATCCTCTGCAGGGTCACAGCCTTGAAGGGCAAAAAGAGCCCAGCCCAGATCTCCTTCCATCCCTGCCAGGTCACCCAGTAGAAGTTTTGCTGCTGCAGAGAGGGAATCAACTAGTACATACAAAAATCCTCCAGGTCACAGTTTATTATTATTCTCTCTGCTTATACTTATTCTTGATTACAGAATATAAATTACAGGAGGAGAGATAGTCCCAAGGAACAGACATCTGCTCACCATGTCTAACCTAGAGATCTAAACAGCAGTGCACGACCCACCTCCAACTGGCCTGGCTGAGCCCCCTCTCTGTGTGGCTAACTGACAGGCAAAGTGTAGGCTCTGTTTCCAAAAAGGCTTTAGACAGATGTGCCAGGGTTCTGGCAGCATCCTGCAGTGATCTGGTATTCATCCAGATGAATTTTTCACATTGCAAAGGGTGATACTCAAGTGTGATAACGAGGCTAAGTGTAAAATGCCATGGTACGTACCATGGAAAGTCTCATCAGAGAAGACCAGGTCTGGAGAACTACGTCTCCTTCTCTTTAAGTTGCTCTCCCCAGGTCAGGGCTGTGGCACAGAAGAATTGTCTCATATCTGTCCTGCTGCTGCTGTTAGAAACTGTATGCTGCAGCTGGCTCTCGCAGTCCCCTACCCCTTGGGTCAACGCCACATGTGAGCATCAAATGGCCTTTCTGTACAGGTGTCCTTGTCCTTGGTGGCAGGCACTGGCTTAAGGGCTTAAAGACTTTCAGCTCACAAGTGCTGTCCACCTGCAAAGTTTTACAGCACTTGTACTGAGAGCATATGAAGGTGGGAACAGCTGTGGTGAGGCAGACAGAAGGTGCTTCTAGCCCAGTGTTCTTCAACAGCATCATTTGCTCAATCACAAGTGAGGTGGTGCCTGAAGGGAAGCACTAAAGTTAGGTTTCAGAGGCGAATGGGAATAGGACACCGGGTGGGCTCTTTGCCTCACTCTCTAGGCGCCTGGCCATGTCTGGAAATCAGATGCAGAACAGGGAGGGGTTGTACGATCCCACACTTCCCAAATCCTCCCGTCAGAGCTTCTCTAAAGGTACTCATTAAAGACGGTGGGGCAGATCCTTTGCTGAGGCAGAGGAACACCCCATCCTCTGAGGCGTGGGCCCGTAACGCTTCTGTCACCAGGATTTCATATACTCTCTGGCCTCTTCTTCCTCCAGGTTAGTAACACTGCTTTCACTTATCACCAGATCTTGAGTACTGCTTAAAGAACAATGGGGTATTGTTAGGCCAAAGAGATTTAATTGGAGCCTACACACTCCCACAGTGGATAAGACAGGCCTCTCTGCAGATCTAATCTGCTATCTTCATCTTTTGTCTCCTTTTCTCTCTCTTTCATCCTTCTCCTTTCCTCAAAGTTTCTCTTTACTCTCTTCCAGCTCTGGGCCAGCAGTGAGTGACCAGCCCATCCTAAAATGTAAGAAAGAAGGGAGGGAGGGAGAGGTGTCCTTCTTTTAACATTTTTTAAACAGTCTTTAAATCCTTTGGAGTGTTTGGGCCTGAAAAAAGGATTAGCAGTAATTCCCCTGCCATCGCTTGCTTCTGACTAGCTGACAATTCATTCTTCCGAGATCCCCTAAACTCACTGCTGAATACATTAGCCAGAGGACAAGGGCGCAGGCTTGATGAGGTTGTTATAACCACTTGTGCCCACCCCCGCACCCCCCTTGACAACGGCCGGGCTATTTGGTTTAATGTAACCAGGAGAGGCCCTGGATGAGCACTTCTTCTCTTATTAACCTGAAACCAACCCAATGTTGCCAATGTGGCAGCCCTACAGTGATGTAGGTAGGTAGGGTTGAGAAAGCAGGACCCCAGGAACCACTCTACTTTCTTCTCTAATGGGTTGCTGGGTTTGCTGGGAGCTCTGGAGACAGGAAAGCTGGAATGAGAGTCCAGAGGCCGAAGGTCTGGCTCTCAGCTCTCGGCGGTGTTTCTGCCACCTCAAGCTTGCCACTGACCCGCTATTGCCTTAGTTTCTCCTCTGTGAAAGGGGGCCACTGCCCCCTCAGTGCTGGCAGGGTGCAGTCCCCCTGCTGTCTTTTCTCAGAGCGTTACAGCCTGCTTGGAGGGGCGTGCTATGATCCCCGCCTGGCTTGGATGCTGCTGAACACCTTTAGATGAGAAATGCTATCTATTTTCTCTTTCCCCTGCCTTGTTTGCTCTATTTGTAAAACAGGGATCACATTTTGCACATTGTGAATTACTGAACTAAAGCATTAAGAGCTAGATGGAGTCTTGAGCAGAGCCCTTGAAAGCAGCACTTTCTGTTCCTGACCTCCATTTTCCCCACCTTGGCGTTTCTGAGCTCCTCTCCCCACACCAGCACACGTGTCTCTGAAGTCAGAGCCTTTCCCAGCAGGGATGGTTTAATACCAGTCTTGCTTGCAGTCAGGTAAATCTTGCTTTCTTTAAGAGAAATGACTGCACTGACAGTGGAAGCAAAAAGAGCAGGATTTGGCCCCTAGAACCCTCCGTGCGGTTGTACCCTCCTGGAAAAATGCTCCTTGCAAAGGTATTTCTTTCTGGCATCCCTTCACTGACACCCTAAACTGCTGATAAGAGAACCCACAGTCCTCCTCCCTCCTCTCTGCTCCTCCTGAGACTACGGCCCATGACTTTCTGGCCTACCTAGACTCAGCACATTTCACTTCCCCGGCAGCCAGCCCCCTCGAGCAGGCCTTGCTTCCCGGCTGCAGCACAGCTGCCAGCCCGTAGCTGGGCCAGCCCCGCTTTACGCTCTGCTTGCTTCACGCCTACCTCCCCAGGGCATCTGGGTCACAGGACTTGCCCCTCTGCCTCAGATAGAAACTAAGCTGTGTTTTTCAGACCCCCCTAAAGGAGATATAAAAGGTGCCTGGCTCCTAACGAGGGCTGGAGACCGACCCTCTGCTGTGACGGGAGCAGATGTCCCATGGGAAACTGAAGCGCAGAGGGAAGGACTGGATGTGCGTTCCTGTCTCTTCCTCTTTTCTCTTTCATGGGCTATGTCA